TGTAAAGAGACAAAGAGACACTGCAGAGACACTGTAAACACACTGCAGTAACACAGAGGACACCCCAGTCTCCAGGTGTGAAGGACTACCTGTGTCACAGGGCAGGTGTGAGGCTCGTCCAACATCTCTGAGTAGATGTCCCTCCGTCTTTGTCGTCCTTGTCCCAACAGAGTTTCCATCATCCTCCAGGACAGCAGACAGACACACTGCTGCTTCAACACACCTGGAACCAGACTGAGACAGACAGTAAGGGCACAGTCATACAGAGACACACCTGAGCCAATCACACGTCCAGAGAGAGACAGGAGGCGGGGCTGTCCAAACGTGGACATAAGACATAATACTGCATCCATCCACAGGACGTCCAAGATCTGAGACTGGAAACCAAACACATCCTCAGAGGGACAGGTAAGACGAACGGAGACAGGTGATGTCCTTACCTGTGTGTGAGCTGCGAGCTCAGGTGACACACCCACAAGTACTCGGACACGCCCCTGTGTCCCTGCAGCAGTAACCGTGGTAACGTTCCGTCTCCAGGACAACGGGGGGCAGGGCACCCCCCGCCCACCCTGCTGAAGGCTGTCACCTTCAGGCTGGAACGAAGGCAGCAGCAAAGCATGCTGGGAGGAAAGTCAGGGCAGGGCTTGAACAGGAAGTGGACGTGATGCAGCTGCAGGAAAACCGAGAGAAGTTTATCGAATGTGTAACACAAGTTGAAAGAGCATTAGTTTGATCCATGTATGGATGTTTGTTTCAGTGTTTTCATGGATGAATAAATGAAACTGGATCTGCAGCTACTGATCATCTTCTACTGATCATCAGCCCATCAGCCTGTTACACCATCACTGCATGAGCTTCACCTTCAACAGTGATTTAAAGAAAGAAAAGCAGCGGCTCTGATTCTAATCAGAGGATCTGCAAATATCTGGTAACTCTTAAACTGATGTCACTGATCAATAACTGTTAATCACACTGACTGTGGTGATGATGTCACACTGGCTGTCCAATCAGCAGCAGCCTCACCTCCACTCGGTCTCCTGCTCTGAGTTTCCTCTTTGGCATCGGCTGATAGGCCAGACACAGACCAACCCTCCCGTCAATCACGTAGAGCCCCGCCCCCTCGCTCACGACCTTAGTCACTATGCCCTATCAGAGGAGAGGGGCGGGGCTTAGCACACAGGTGAACAATGACACAAAAATGCTGAGAGCCAATGAAAGATCTGAGCCCTCCCACCTGGTAACTGATGACTCTGGACTGCTTCATCCTCACACCTGATTGGACATCAGGCTCCGCCTCCTCACTGTCATCACTGGCGTGTGACATCATCATCAGGGGCATGTCCATGTTGGTGGGTGTGTGCTCTGCAGGAGCTTGAGTAAGATCCTGTGTGTGTCTTGGTGTGTAGTCAGTGTGTAGTTCAGAGCAGTCAGTCACACACAGGATGTTGTTTCCTCTCCAGCCTCGCAACACACACACACGGAGAACTGTCACACACACACTTTGTCCAACACACACACACTGAGACCAACACAACTTGCTGCTGTCCTGCAGAGAGACAGAGATCATCATCATCAATATCATC